ATGCGCGGGTGAAAAATAAACCAACATATACATACATAGCAAGAAATAGCTTTGTAAAGATTCGGTTTAAATTTTATTTGGTTACGAGGAGAACTAGTGTGCAAGTGGTTACATTTGGACTAGTTGCAAATGGTGCAAAATATGGTCTTGTGCAAAAAACAATTAAAATAAGTGTGAAAAAGCATAAAACAACAATTAAGGAACAACTTCATGTAGAATACATTTTTCCGACAGATGGCGCTGTAGTCGACATATGGAACTGGAAGGAGTAAAGAAAAAAAATATTATATATGTATATCCAATTTCGATATGAAACATCATTAGGAATAGCATACTAAACTCTTAAATCAGTATCTCGAATAGTTTTGGAAGTGAAGCCTTCTAAAATTCATTTCATTCAGATTTATTAGTTTCTTTTTCAACACATTAACCTCCTAGAACATTTTCGAATTTGCTGCAGTGGCTACTCAAGCTACAGAATTCAATCCCTATGAAATTTTCTGTATGTTCGATATATAGTACTCCATAGATTGCCCTACTAGTTTTGTGATCTGAGCAATAATCGAAAATTCAATCGAAATCCAAAATTATCTAAATTTTGTGTAAAACTCAGCTTTTTTTTATAATTTGTAATTTTTTGATTTTTTTACCATAAGTCATCGAACGGACAACATCTTCCTGGAGAGACTTGTTTTTACATTTCATCCACGGAGAAGGCTGGAAACGCTCCAGTAGTAGGAGTTCTGTTTTGGTAGCGATAGCGAGTGAGTTACACTCAAACAATATTTAACTTTTTTCTTAAAATATTTTACTCTATATTCCTATATGTAATATTGTGTTTTTTAGACTGTCACACTAAGTGTGGCCCTCAAGAAGGGTTAACGTTTAAGGAGAATTAATCTTCGCCAACATGAGAGCATTGTTTAGATTTCTGAGAAATGTAGTGAGTCTGAGCTCAGTTAATTCGACAATCTATCATGAATTCAGTAATGTCCGTGTAGCTGAGTTAAGGAAAGTGACTTCTACGAAGGTAGAAAAAAGTAATTTTTTATTTAATATTCAACACCCCATCGAACTTTATGCACAAAGTTGGTGTAACAAAATCTGTCAATATTATTGAGGCTACGTAAAGCTTGTAATATTTCGCATTTGTTAAATAATTTTGAGACTCTTTTTCAAAATCGAAGTAAAATTAGCTGAAGGTATATTGTCAATAAGCCAATCTTGATGACTCTGACTAAGAATCATTCCTACTACAAATGGGTCTGCGTAATTGTCAATTTGGGAGGCTTTGTCAAAATTATGTGCAAAATGTATTATTTTGCTATAAAAAAAAAATAAGAGTAAAAAACAAAAATTGTAAACAACACCAGAGTATATTGGTTCTCAGCAAAAACTTTCAAATCGATTTTATATACAGACGCAATGTCGACTCGAACCGTTATAGAACGGCTCAGTTAAAGATGTGCGCAATTTTTTAGAGAAGGAAAAGCATCGGAAACAAAGCTCTTTATAAGTATGGGAATTCTCCATTGCTGTACCGTTCAGTCTTTAAAGGAAAGCTTAAATTTAACGGCGCGGTTAAATAAGTTCATTTTCTGATTTTTCCTTATGTAGATTCAATTGAAGTATTTCAGATTGATTTAATATTTGAGCGTCTCTGAAGCTCTGAAAAGGGCTCGAATAAGAATCGGCAAATGACGGATATGATATAGGAGGATGAAGCTATGTGTAGAGGTCCACACAAGTTAGGAAAGTTCTCTGACTGCCATTCACTTGGGAGTGGCCAGAAATTATTTTACTTATGGCGCAAGCAGCCGAGACTTCCGGTTTTATAAAAAGTATCCTCTGGATAGCCAAAAAGCATCTGTTTCAAGGCTAGCTAAAATGAGCCGGCGAATCAACCTTCCTCAGGGTTGTGCGCTGGGTTTGGAACACGCCACGTAAAATCCATCCCCACTGAAAAGAACACAACAGAATAAGAGATCCACGCATAGCTATAGTATGCGAACCGCCAGACATCGGATGATATAGCTGCCATTCAAACGAACAATCAAAATTAAGTCTTTATGTAGTAAACATTTTTATTTTCAGATTATAGTCACCTATTGGTTATAATTTGTGAGTGAACTACCGATGCCACTATAAGATCGAGACTATCAGTATAGAAGTTCCAATATTGAAATATGAGCACATTTTCGATTTTGAGTTTATGTTCGACAAAGTGTGGGTTCACTGCTATTTACTTAAAAAGCTTAGCGTTTTATAACATTTTACCATAAAATATATGGACTTTATACAGTCTATTTCAAACTTGAGTTATTTCTATAAATGCAAAATCGAGACACGTTTTCCGATATCCGTCAATTCGTTCGAAAACTCCTTGTCTTCAGATAAGAAAATTAAATTAACAAAAATAAATAAAGAAAATCAACAAGCTTAATACAATATTTATTTGAGAGGAGCGCTTTGACGCTGGCATACGAAAATAAATACAGCGGATAGCTTTGTTAAGAACTCTTCCAGTTGGATATACATATGTATGAGTGTATATACACACACACAGACGCCCGTGCCTTGCGCATGGATATAAATATTTGCTGCGTAACAATTGTGGCCAAAATGTGAATTGCACCCAGTCGAGCACTACATACTTGTACATACATATGTACATATATTCATGTATGCATTTATATTTGTTATTTAAAATTCGATCAGTTTTGACTTACATTGAAGTGCATAAAATAACTCGCAAATGCAGATGCCCCCTGCCAATAAACAATTCGGACTGAATTTCATTACTGCACATGATATATGCATTTGTATATATAGAATAAGTATGTGTACACGTTTATAAGATCGTTGTCGGTACAGATGTGTCTTTTGTTTCAAAATGTATGATTTAAAGATTTGTTGAACATCTTTTGAATATAATTTATAATTGTTTATTCCAAATCGTAAAATAATCGTTTTTGTAATACTCTTTGCACAAAAGTAAATGTTTGAAGCCATCGCATTGCATAACATTTTATTACGAATATGGGTGGAGAGGTTATTGGTCCTCGCATTATCAGTCTGCTATAATACCCGCCAATTAGACATTGACCCGTTGGTAGTGGAATTTTTATAGTCGGCATATGCAGCACATATTCCGAGACTCTGCTCTTAGGATTTTCGATGACTCGTTCGAGCATTTCCACTGCCAACTGGCATATGACACGCGTGCAGCTTACGAATAAAAAAAAAAACGACAATTTCGAATCAGAAGTCGTTGACTCAACAAGCCATCTTCGCGTTATGACATCTTAATTATTTTTATTCAAGCTAAATACAATCACATTCTCTTTTACGTCTTCGATTCCGGAATGCAGAGCTGTTTGTTTGTTTCTAATTTATGTACATATTTTAATATTCCCGTCATGAATGTTAGGAAATTGCATTCAGACTAAAGTAAATACAAATTTATTCACGGGAGGCCATTACAAATGTAGCCACAATTATTACGAGTGTTTGCTCGCGTGCGCCAGATGGCGCGTAGTCAAAACAATTACAGTTACATTTTAAGGCCTATATAAATATTTATACATTTATTAAGCAAGAGAAGGGAATGATTTTGTAAATTAATATTTTTACGTTATGCAAATTGAAGGGAGAAATTAAGAGACAACGTAGTTGTTTAACTTGTTTGATAGCAGGAATAAAGGGATGTTCAATTTATTCCAGTGTGAGAGCGCCTCAAAATAAGCGTTTTTTATAACATTTTGCATTATGGCCAGATAGAAAAAAAAAGTATTTTTGGGCATTTTAAATTAAAACACCCAAAATTTACTATGAATAAAAATTATTATATAGTGGTTATTTATTATATGGAGAAAGGATTTAAATTTTTTTAAAGTATATTAGAACAACTGATTTTTAACCTTTGAATGCCCAAGAAAAGGATTTAACCTGCTTAACTCTCAATTATTAAATGTTTTAATCATTTTCTATTGAACATAATACTATGATGCTTCAAATTACAAAATCTTCCGACAAATACCTTTAATTTTCACAAATGTATTTAATTTTCATTGTTTTATACTTTTTATAAGTGGTATTGAACGATGCAACAAATCCCTCCGTTTACATATTTTTTTGCTTAGATTTCAATCTGGCCATCGCTCGTTTCCAATTGTTAAACGTCGAAACCTCCTGAACTCGATCAACTGTCAAAGTTTAGGTGGTTTTGACGTTTAGCAATTGTTCTCTCACTTCCAGTGAGAAAGGAGTTAAACATCTCTTTATCTCTGTTTGATAGTCAGCGGGCTTCAGCGGACTAAATATTGTTTGAAGCATTTCTTTGAAATTGAAGTTGAATATAAAGCACAGAAATTTACAAGGCCGATGATTTCCGCCTTTAATAACGAGTATACAAATTTAAGAGTTATGAAATAAGAATAAAAGAGACTTTTACTTCTGCTGAAGTTAGTTGATTAAAATGCATTAAAGTGCATTAAAATGCAGCCGAAAGCCTTTGATGCTAGCGCTGCGTACTTTAGTTTATWTAATAATTTGTTTATTATGTAAGTTTTAATAAAATAAAATTAAAAAAAATAAATAAAAATGAAAATGCATTATAAATTTGACATTTATTTGGCAAATTTTTTAGTGATTGAAATCTATTGCCTGATTAATGTGTTAATTTATTAATAGAATATATAAATAGGTATAATAGAAAAATCTTTTCAAAGTTTATGTACTTCGCTTAGGCCACATTTTAAAGAGCTTTTCGAGGAGTAAATCCATGATATGAAGGTGATTTCAAAAAAATTTAATTACCTTATGTATGATATTATTCTATTGCTCGCTTATCAATGTTCGTTTCACAAAAATTCAGAAGAAAATCTGGATCAGTTTTAGAAAGTTCGGTTAGTTATTCGTGAGGAAGCATAAATCGTTTAAGCCAAAAATGAAAATTATTAAAATATAAACTGCAATTTTAAATTTAGAAATTTACTTACTAAAAGTACATCAATTTTCAGAGAAAATTCAACAAATTTATGCGAGTTGTAGTGGTCGTTGTAGATTATTTATAAAGAAATATATCTAAAAATAGAAAATAAAATATTTATTTAATAACTATAATAATAATATATATAATAATCCTAATTTCAATATATTACGTTTTTATCTAAGTGAAAAAAGCAAACATGTTAACATCGGCTGCACCGAACCTGTAAAATCTTTCACTAGTGCGTTTCTATAGTCTAAATAAGTATAAATGATCTTAATTTTGATTTTGACCGGTCAGTTTTAAATTACAACTATATACTGTAGAGGTCCAGTGTATGAAATTAGCTTTTTTTGTGAAAATGAAATACTAACGTTGCATGGCAAAGTAAAGAAAATAAAAATCTATTCAAAGTATTGATCATTGCTTTTTACCCATTTTGACTACCTTTCTGGCAATTTCGGGACACCAGGTTCGTCTTTTGAAGCAAACCAATCAGACACACAATTTTCGACTTCGGCGAAGGAATACAATCGCTGCTCAGCCAGTGCGTCTACCATCGATGAAAATAAATGGTAATCGGAAAGCGAAAAATCTTGCGAATACAGCGGTGCAGTAGCAGCTCCTTACTTTGATTGCTTCCCGAACAGATTGTGCTTTGTGTAGAAGTGCAATGTCGTGTAACAAATTTATTTTCCCATGTCTTCTGGTCCACTCTGGCCGTTTTCGATAAATGCATGGTATAAATTGATCATCAGGTGTTAAAAGCTCATGATATAACACACCTTTCTCTTTCTGATCTCAACTTAGTCGACGTTGATGATTGTAGTGGATTAACCCAAGATTTTCTCCGTTTATTTTGCTTAAAATAATCCATTTTCATTTGTCAGTGACAATTCGATGCAAAACTGATTTCGTTTCGTGCCTGTGTAGCACAATTTCATAAGTATTTTTTCGGTTTACCATTTGTCGTTCATTCAATTCATGCGGCACCTATCTTCCACACTTTCGGATCTTTCCCATAGCTTTCAAACGGTCTGAAGTTGTTTGTTGTTCAACATTTAAAATGACTGTCATTTGCTTTTGACTCCAAGTATCATCTTCATCCAATATTGCTTGCAGCTCGACATCTTCAAACTTTCTTGGTGGTCTTCCACGTTGTTCATTTCTCACTTCAAAACTTTTTCTCTGAACCGGTGCAATCATCTTTTGCTTGTTGCTTCTGATAAAGCATATGTTCGGAGAATATAAGACTGCCTACGATAATTATCGATGTAAAATTTTGTGAAATAAAGAAATTTTCCAAACAAGAACTTAAATCTGATTGATGGTAGCTATATGATATAGGGGGTACAATAAAAGAGCAGCTTTTTGTGGAGAAAAGTACATGAGATTAATTATTACACTGATAGGCGTACAAGGCTAAATCAACTCAGTCATTACACTGAAAATTTATATATGTACCATATATGTTTTATGAAGTCACCGATGTTTCCTTTTAGGTGTCATAAAACTCATATAAAACTCTATTCCTGTTCAAGATGTTAAATTACTATACAAATGTAATAAGTCAGGCAGCTGTATGAGTATAACATTCCATGAATATATTTTAGACACCACTGAAAGACAAATGAGAGGGATTTCTCATTAAAAAAAAATTTGACATCCCTCTCACTGATGATTTCTGGAGTTTTGGAAACAGAAATATTTTGAAAATGTATATATATACGAATAAGTTACCATAATACAGGATTTGTTGATATCTACACGCTTCTGGAGATCGCCATGACTTTAGCTAGAATTTGCGAGTGAAGAGGGAATTTCATCAGCTTTAATGTTAATTAATATAAACATGTGGTTATATCCTAGCATGCCAGTCGTTCGTCCCGTCGGTTTTTGCACCTTCTTTGTCGTTCCTGAAGAAAGCAGCACTAACGCGATTATTAAGCGGATGATATCGACGTCATCGGCGTACGTCAGCATTTGTACACTCTCCCCAGCTCGCAATATTTTCTCCAGCAGTAGATTAAAGAAGTCGCACAGTAGGGAGTTGCCTTGTCTGAAACCTCGTTTGATATCGAATGCCTCGGATAGGTCCTTCCCGATCTTGACGGAGTTCTTCGTCCTCGAAGTCAGTGATACTGCAAGTCACTGGGTTCAAAATAAAAATTTTAAAGCTAAACATTTTAGCGATCTATCGGACATCAACCTACAAATACCATATAAGCAAGCATTATACATAAGTATGTAAATTGTATATGAGCAATCCATTTGTTGGATGACACATATAAGAGACAGGCGATAATAGGGCTGTCTAACTGTTCTAGCTTTAGTGGCGTCCAATGTGATAAGTGTCACGTTTACATACAAACATGTGCTCATTGAATCGCTGCAAATACTCACAGTGCTCAGCAACAATAACAACAACAGCAGCACTATAATAAGTGAATTTTCCAAAAAACCAACAACAAGTAATGTTTATTCTATTTTATTCGTTCATTGATGTGTCTTATTGACAAAGACAACTGTCGTAAATCGGACGCGTTTAATATAGAGATGGATGTTACATGGGTATACATAAATATTTACTTGCAAATAAAATTAGTGAACAAATATGTGTTACATCTGGTACTCCAGTCAGTATTCTGCGAACACATGTATAATGAGCGACGGTCGATCAAAAGTCAGCATAAAGAGACATAATGATAATGAGAATTATGCGTTGGGCTATTCACTTTTGACAATGCAGTGAGGCGCATAGCAAAGAGCAGTATAAATAAAATTGACAGCATTCGATACAGAGCATACGCACATACTTTGACAGATATGTATGTGTATGTATGCATTTACATATGTATTCTATATGTATGTCTATATCCCTACAGCATTCCTCAAGAATATCCGAAGCAAGGTAAACCTAAGAGAAGGAGAGGTGAAAATTAAAGGGATTCGCAAAACAAGAGCCGGAGCTATACTACTGGAGCTGGAGAAAGGACAATCCACAAAAGCCAGTTTCTGCGAAGCACTCAAAACGACCCTCTGAGAATCCGCAACTGTGGCCGATCTTAAACCAAAAGCCACAATAGAGATTAGAGACCTCGACTCCCTTTCAACATAAGAAGAAGTAGCAGAGGCTGTAAAAAAAGTGCTACAGGACTCCATCGAAGACTTGACGATAAGCATAACAGCACCTAACACAAGAGAGCAGGTCAGGGCATATCGGCTGGGTTAACTGCAGGCTGCGACTGAAAGAAACCAAAAAAAGATGCTTTCGCTGTTTTGGACCAGCGCACTTAACGCAAAGGACCCGACAGAAGAGGACAAGGTGCTTGCATAAAATGCGGCCAACCAGGTCACAAAATGAAAGAGTGCACAAAGTCCCCCTCATGCTGCCTCTGCGTGGAGGCTAAACACGAAAAGGCTGACCATATCCCGGGATCCGCAAAATGTATGGTATATAAGAAATACCAAAACAAATGAATATCTCACAGGCCAGTATGCATATATGTATAGCTGCAGACTCACTACTCTCGCAAATGGTGGCGGAGAACGCCTACGAGTTAATCATCATAAGCGAGCAATACAAAAAGAAAGAGAGAGGCATCTATCATCAGAGCGCTTGGCAGGCTCAATAATGGAATGGAAAGTCCTGGAGGATTACACTGGCAACGATCACCAGTACATTTCCTTCACTATCGACATTGAAACAAACGCTAACCAGCGCAGGAAAAAAACTGCATCGCGGAGGTGGAACATCTCGAAGCTAAATACTTCGAAACAAAGCCCATCTAGCAGCTCCCCAGAAAATGCTAGAAAAATTGTCGAGCACACAATGCTTAATATAGCAAGAGCCTGTAAAAAATCAATACCTAAGGCTTCCCACATTAGACACATGGCAGCAGTCTATTAGTGCACTGAAAATATCGCCCAACGCAGACGCACATGCCTCCGCCTCCGCAGATCCTACACGAGATCCAGGCGCAGAGGAGCCGCACCCGAAGAAGCCGAGCAATACAAAGCAGCAAAAAAGGAGCTGAATCACGCCATCGACGACAGCAAAAAGAAAAAATGGGAGGAACTTTGCGCGGATATAAACAGAAATCCCTGGGGACTTGCATATAAAGTAGTTATGGATAAGCTCGGCGCTCGAACAAAGCCACCTGATTTAACCGCTTTAAAAATGGATCACATCGTGGACGCACTATTCCTCACACATAAAAGCAGGGAACCAGCATAAACACTATGATCTGCGCAAATTCCCCAGTTCCCCGTGGAAGAGCTGCAGCTAGCCACTGGCAATCTCAAGGCCAACAAATCACCCGGCCCGGGATCCCAGCAGAAATCCTCAAAATAATCGCAGCAGAGTGTCCGGCAGTACTACTGAACATGTATAACGCCTGCCTCGAAACCGAATATTCCCTGAACCATGGAAAAAGCAACGGCTGGTGTTAATCAGTAAGGCAAAAGGAGACCCCAATCTGCCATCAGCATACCGTCCACTATGCATGCTTAATATAGCGGGAAAGCTTTACGAAAGCCTAATAAAACCCAGACTCGAAGCGGCTATTAACGAAAATGGAGGACTGTCTCTTAGACAACACGGCTTCAGGACGGGCAGATCAACCATAGGAGCCATAAAGTGCGTCATTTAAAGCGTAGAAGCAGCGCAGCGTAGATGGCATAAATATAAAAGAATAGTGTTACTGGCGACTCTAGATGTCCGAAACGCCTTCAACAGTGCTAGATGGGTGGACATGATCGATGCTCTCGAAAAAAGCTTCAAGATACCCGACTACCTCAGGGCTGTGGTGCGGAGCTACTTTAGCAACAGAAAACTGCTATACGAAACTAAAGAAGGGCCATGTCAGGTAGCGGTTACGTCAGGAGCAGCACAAGGATCCATCCTAGGCCCAGACTTATGGAACATAAGCTACGACGCTATATTAAAGCTAGAAATGCCAGAGGCATGCTACGCACAGCAAGGGGTACAGAAGAAGCGCGAAGAAAGCTGAATCAGGTCATGATACGAACGCAAACATGGCTCGACACACACAACCTAAAGCTCGCTACGGAGAAAACAGAACCACAGGAAAGG